TATTGTGATATAGTGATCTATAGACATGCAGTTAAGATAGAGTTTTATTCCCTTTCTCTATGCATATAGTCAGAATTATTACTCTGTGCTGCGATCTAAGAAAAATGCAAAACACTGTCTTCTCAGATGTTGTTTTTCTGTGTAATCTACAGGAACCTCCTGAAAATGCTCTTCCCCAGCATTGTAAACATTTAGGCATGGTTTCCAATGGGAATTAGTTGGTGATCTCAGAAGTTTCCCTCAGAAGCTCCATGCTCCATTGTTTCCAAGGGCTACAGGTTTCTTGAATTTGTGTTACAGCAGATACTTATCTGCTCTTGGATCTGAAAGATAACATTTCTAGCCGAACTTGAGAAGGATCCTTTAATATGTGGACCTAGATTTTGGGGAAGGGCACCAATTCTATCTTCACTTGCCTTTGCTTATCATACTGTTTGAGTCACCCTTAATATATTTGGTTTACTTGGAGCTATGGTGATGGATGCCATGGTGGGAGGGAATGAAGTGTGCGGGAAAGAACCCCAGATTTAGAGACCTGAGTTTTAATTCCAGTTCCACCACTAAACCAGCTATTTCCAACTTGTGGCAACTGACTTAACTGTCTGGGCCTTAATTTTCTCATCTATAAAATGAGTAGGTTGAATGAGAGGATCTCTAATGTCCTCCCAACTTGAATGTTCCATGAATCTTTCATAAACTGAAAAGATGTGATGGGGATTTCTATTCCTTTTTCATCTTAATACAACATACAGTATCTTATAACACTTGTCAGGCTTCTGAGGAGGAACTGAAATAGTGACCAAGAAGCACAGAAATCGTGATACCTGTTTTCTGGGTTCACTGTTCCCCATCTGTAAAACAAGGCCACGGGCCCTATGAATCAGATTCTTTTGGAGTTCTAGCTCCTTTGTTCTTATGAAGCAGAACTGCTAATTGCCATCTCCTCCTACGAGGGTGAACTGCTTTTCTCCCTCAATCTTCCTTTGTCCTAATTCCCTACTGATTTCTATTTCCTCCCCTCAGCCAGGGGAGAAAGTATTTGTGTGACCAGCAAATGGGCATGACAGGAAAAGTGATTTCTACGGGAATCTATGTAAGGGAATGCACTGGCTGACTTCATAACCATTTTCCCTAGTGGGCTCGAGTACAAAATGCTTTTTGTAAAACCAGGCGTTGCTGGACTAGACATGAAAGTGTCATTTGGCCCTGGATAAAATCCCTGGGAGTGCCAGATGAATACTGCCAGGCAGAGTCCAACAATCCAGTCACAGGGCTAATGAAGTCTCAATTATTTCTGACATTTCACTTGTTCAAGTCTCTGATTTCTCTTGTATGATTAGAGGGCTGTTATCCATAGTACATTAGAGGCAGCCCTGGCATAGTGCGTAAATGATTGGCCTGGGAATCAGCCAGACCTGGGTTCAAGTCATGTCTCTGACATCTAGTCAGATCACAAGAAGATCACTTAACCTGTTAGTGCCCTATGCATCTCCTTATAAATTACAGGGGTGTTGCCAATCTACATCCATGGAAGGAGTTTTTATATCAATGAAAACATAGTTCCAGAATGACAGGAAAAGAAAATTCGAGGGAGAGAGGGTTGGGATATAGGCTGGGAAAGGAGGCAAGGGACAGAAAAGCAAGAGAGAACCAGGGCTCCATGAGGAAGGTGAGTAGATTGTTTAAAAGGCCTTCAGGGCCTTCTCAGGGGCCTGAGAGTCAATGATATCCATTCCTTGCCCTTTCACTTGTGTGACCTACCAGTCTAAATCTGTTAGACACCATTATCACAGGTGCTTGCCAGACTGTTGGCTGTTTTTTTTTTTTTTTTTTTAGTTCTTTATGGTCCATTTCAGTTAAAATTGGATCTATAGCTTCTCAGAGGCATATTGGGAAAAAAAATCCTGCCACTTATATAAGGAGAGGAATGTTCGTAGAATCATGGAACGGTAGTGGTCATATAGTTAGACTCCTCATATCTTTGTGTGTCTCTGCTGCATCTGGTTTGTACCAGCTTGAGCTAATTGCTAAATATTTAGTGTGAAACTTATACCTCAGAAGATGGCAAATGCCATAAAACAGGATTTGATTTATTGCTGTGTTGATTGTCTAGACTTAAGAAAGCATCGAGAAAATGTTAATAATGTAGGTTAAATTTAAAAGCGTGTCATGTGGATATTTTTTTAAAACTGGTTGTTTGGGCAGCTAGGTGGCACAGTGGACGCTGACCATGGAGTCAGGAGGACCTGAGTTCAAATTTGGCTGCAGATACTTATGAGTTGTGTGACCTTGGACAAGTCGCTTAACCTTCATTGCCTCAAAAAAAAAAAAACAAGCTGGTTGTTAAACATTTGCCAGCATACCCTATTTATTAAGTAAGTACTTAATAAATATTTACTGAATGAATGACTTTTACAGATATGGAAAGTGAGGTTCAGAGAGGTTATGTGAAAAGCCAGGAATATGAAAGTAATAATTCTGTTGTTCTCTGCCCTGGTCAGACCAGGTCTAGAGTGTTGCATTCAGTTACAATCATCAAAGACAGAGCATGTGTGGAAGAAGACATCTGATATGGTGAAGGGTCTCTGGAAAAAAAAAGAGGAAATGGAGATATCTTAGGCTTGGAAAATGGAAGACTTATTGCAAGTGGGAGGTGGCACAATAGCTATCTTTAATTATTTGAAGGTCTGTGCCTTGGAAGATGGGTTGAATTAGTTCTTTTGGGTCCCAGAGGGCAGAATTAGAAGCAATGGGTAGAAACTGCAAAAGCACATGGTTGGGTTTGACATTGGAAAAGACTTAGAAATAACTAGAGTAATTAAGAAGGAGGATGGACATCCTTAAGAGGAGGTCTTCAAACAAAAGCTGGACAACCACGCCTCAGAGATGTTGTAAAGGGAGTGCTTTTTCAGGTTTGGCTTTAGGTAGATGACCTTCAGAGGTCCCCTCCAGTGCTGAAATGGTTGATTGTGAGAATCCAGGGCTACTGAGGCCCAGTCTGGTCCTATTTTCATTTTGTAGACGCTCTTGATAACGTGACTTAATTATTAGCATTTTCTACTTTTTTCAATATGCTGATACTTCCTCTGTGGTGGGCAGACAAAAATTCCTATGTTTTTTGTCTTGCTCTGACTGTCTTTTCAGAAGTTGAGTTTTCTACCTGAATATCTGGGGAGAGAGATAAGGATTCTTCTTTAAGGCTCCCAACATGTGGCTTGTTTTGGGGAGAATTCTGAAGGGCTGAAGATCTACAAACATTTTTTCCCCCAGGGAAAGGAGATGAGCAAATGCCAGGAGAAAGGGAATATATTTAGGCCAATTGATTGACTTTTGGAGAGACCTCCACACTTCAGCAGTTTTCAGCTTTTGTGCTTAGCAGTCAAGGGAATGTATAGAGCCTATTCCTTGGAAATAATGATAGTGCCTTGAACTTTGAAGCGGAACCTACATTTATGAAGTATTGGTGGTTGTGATTTCTTTTCTTCCTTCTCTGAAACAAGAAAAGCCTTATCTTGTTTACTGATCATATTTTGTAAAGCTGCCTCCTTCACCAGTGAATTCACCGAACGTTTATCAAGTACTACTCTGTGCCAGACGCTGTGATCTGCACAGGAAAAACACAGGCCCACTTCAGTCTGGCTTCTGTTTCTCATTCCCCCTTCTTCCCTTCCCCACCATTGAAGCTGTTCTTGACAAGATCACCAGTGACCCATCAGTGCCCAAATATAGTTGCCTTTTCTCTGTCCTCATCGTCCTTGGCCTCTTGGTAGCTTTTAACCCCATTGATCCACTCTCTTCTTGGTGATTGCATTTCCCTTGGCTTCTTCCAGGCTGTTCCCTATTGTTTATTCTGTCCCACCCCTCCTCCATCCACTCTCTCTGGTTGTTGTCCATTTTCTTTTCTTTCTTTCTTTTTTTTTTGCAGCAATGGTTGAATTTGAATTAGATTGTAAACTCATTTATGTAACTCTATGTTTTGATGTTCCAAGCTAATTTGATGAGTAATCTATTTACTTTAAACATTTTTCCTACTTTCCCCTGCTTCTTTCTTTGTCCCAGTCATATATCTCTATTGACCTCTTCCCCTTTTGGTGTGCTAGCCCCTAGATAATCCTAATTGTCTTTTAAATGAATGGGAAAACTGCTTCCTGTGAGTGCTTGTTTTACTAAAATGCTTGTTTTACTGTCAAAGAAGAAAAAGAATTCTTTCCTACAGTCCAGTGCAAATTCTTGAGAGAAGTTTTAGCTTTTGGGCGAAGAAAAGTCTTCAACAAAGCATAGTTTGGAGACACTAGTTAGACTAGTCACTGAGTGCCCTACTCTTCATAGGAACATCCATTTAGAGCTGGGAGGCATTTCAGAAGTCACCTATTTCAACTCCTTTATTTTACAAATGAGGAAACTGAGACCTGGAAGGATTAAATGACTTGCCCAAGGTCACACAGGTAATAAATTGCAGATCTAGCATTCCAATACAGGTCCTCCAAAACCTGTGCCCTTGACACTGTGCCACAAAGGACTGGTGCTTTTCTCTCCAAGGAGTGCTACCCAATCTGGGAGGCTACAGAATTCTGTAAACCCAGGTTACATTGTCTGTTACTGTGATTTAGCAAGCTCCTGGGGTAGAAGGAAAACATTCTCCAATGAGATGCAAATTGCTGGTAGATTGATGCCCCCCCTAAGTGTTTGTCTTGTATGTATGTATGTATGTATGTATGTGTGTATGTATTTTTCATATTCTTCTTTCCTCCCCCTTCTCCAAGACCCTGAACTGAAACCCAAAAAATTTGCTATCACAAGAACAGTTTTTCCTTTCTTCCTTCTTTCCTTCCTTCCTTCCTTCTTTCTTTCTCTTTCTTTCTTTCTTTTCCTCTTTCTTTATTTTTTAAGGATATCTAACTATATGATCAACTTAATCATTAGGAAACCTGACAGTTACTATAATATTAATTCTCAGTTTTGCAGTGTTGTTCATGTAGTTTCATTTTCTTTCTTTAAAGATTTGAACATGGAATTCAACCCTTCAGACCACCCTCGGGCCAGCACAATATTCCTCAGTAAATCTCAGACCGATGGTAAGTTATTATTTATGTCTCTTTCTCTTTCCTCTTTTAAATGGCTTTGTAGGCAGTTGACTTTTACTTAAAATTCTGCCTTTTGTTTTGATTTGCAAGGTCACATAATAATTTCCAGGATCTCTATTGCATTGACTGGGGTGTCTTTGATGTTTGCTTCTAGGACCCTATTTAGAGTAGAAGGAGGAACTTTAAGTAAATTATAACCCTAGCCCATCCTTCTTGGAAGATGTGTCCCAATCCTTCCAGTCCTTTCAAACTGTACAGGAGCATGTTCCAATCCACATTCCGCTGATTTCTGTCCCAAATTTGTTTCTTTTTGGAGGCAGTAGCTTCCCTGCCCTAAGAAATATGCTAAGTCTGGCTTAGGTCTAAAAACATCGTTATGCGAATTCCATGTGAAAAGAAACAAAATGCTAGAAACAAACAAATTTATCCTCAACTGCTCCTTAGTTTATACTGTTCAACTGTAGGAATAGAAATTCTCTTGTTGCATAATAATAACAGTAATAAAACAATGATTATTATTAGCATTTATATAGCACTTTAAGGTTTGCAAAGCACTTTTAAAATAAGTATTGTCTTATTTGTTTCTTACAACAGCCCTGGGAGGTAGGTGCTATTATTATCCCCATGCACAGATAAGGAAATTGAGACAGACAGAGGTTGAGTGACTTGCCCAGGATTACACAGCTAGTAAATATCTAAGGTCACATTTGAACTCAAATCCTCTTGACTCAGGTCAAGCCCTCTATCTCTATTCATGGTGCCACCTAGCTGCCCAACCCCTAAGAAAGTCTACCACAAAACTGTCTTGGTCATCTTGACCCATTGGTCCTTATTCCTTTCTACACTTCTCTCTCTCCTCATCTCACTGTTTACTGGCTCTGTGCTGTATGGGGAGAGAAACTTACATAATAAAATAAACTAGAAATGGGTTTGTTAAAAGTTGATCAGATAACAGAGAGGATGCTTACGCAGGGGAAATTTGTTAGGTACACAGTTACCACATTGGTTTGAAACACGTGGATCCCCAAGAGACTCCTTCTGAGACTCCACCTAACTGAACTGGGAAAATCTTTGAGTAACTGGACTAATTTAGGGAAGAGCCTAAAGGTATTTCAGATTTGACCTTTAATCTAAAAGATTAAAGTCATTTGCTAGAGTGGATTATTTTTTATTAATTGTTAGGTAATGATGTTGTATGTGGTTTCTTTGTGAAGGGGTGTGAGTTATTTTGTTAATTTATTGTTTATGACCTCTATGCAGATAGATCACTTTCTTGATCTGATATGGTTTAATTTCAATACTTTTAAGAATTCATGTGATTACATTGGTAATGCAGATTGTAACTCCCTTTGTCTAGACCTTAATTTGTAGCCTTCATGAGATGACATGGCCCAAAATATTAATTACTTTGTGATCAGCCATCTGGTGGTGCATCTCTATGAGCTTATCCAGGCTAATCCTCAAATAAAATAAACAGTCTGTTGCTAGCCCCAAACTTTCCAGCTTGATAGAATTGTACAGAACTTTTTGCTCCACTGGTATTAGATGTCTAGACTCCAAGATTTGACCCAGAGTCTACTAAGCCCTAGAGGATTTAACCCTTTTATGACTGGAGCACCTGACCTGGGAAGTGCATGCTAACTAGTGGCTCCCTCAATGGTCCATTACTCCTAGCACTGACTCTAGCTGTACTTCATTCATTCCCTGGCTACTTCACTGGCTACCATGTTACCATCCTCCCTTCGCCCTCTCCCAACCCTTCTCCCACTGCAGGTTTGGAACTACAATCAAATGAACTTGCTAATTTGTCAATATGCTCCTCTGTGCTGCCCCTCAGCATTCCTCAGATTTTTTACTTCCTGGCCACCACTCCCCTATATGTATTGTCTCCCCTATCAGAATGTAAACTTTTTGAGAGTAAAGACTGTCTTTGCTTTCGTATTTCTACATCCTGTCCTCTGCACTGTGCGTGTTGTATAGTGATTACTCAATAGATGCTTGTTCATTTATTCGTTTTTATCCTCATGAAGCACCGCCAACAGGACTTGGAGCATCAGATGGTTCATTTTATTCATGACAAATGAGAACGTGCTGAGAGCTTGAAAGAAATCATTATGACCCTAAAAGAAAATGAACACATTCTGCCTGTTCTTTTTGTCCAATTTTTCATTTGGTTTTCCGGGGAAACTGTGCTTGTGAAGGAACTTTAAGTCTTATGTGATGCAGGACGATGCTTTTGTTCTATTGCTCTAGTGAAATTGGAGCTGTCAGAAGATTTGGGATTGCCAAGGGATGGTTGGAAAGTCTGGGCCAGTGAAAATATGGAAGACAAAGGAAAGCTATATGAACTTTATGAATTCCATATGTGAAAAATAGTGGCAAAGTTTGCTTAACTTCATTGTGTTTGACTTTGCTCTGGGATACAAGCAGGGGTGTGCTCGTAAATGTTAACAACCAGCTACTGGGGGAAAAATGTTTGCATGACACACTTAAGTTTAATCTATATTCTTTTTAAATTTTTAAATAATAAATTATTTTGCCCCAATTACATTTAAAACAATTAAAAATATTTTTTTAAAAAGATTTGAGTTCCAAATTCTCAACCCCTCTCCTTCTTTCCCCTCCCCCTCTTCTCAAGTGTAAGAATGGTAGAGATCATATCTTATTGTTGAGCAGTCCCAGATTCATAGTGTGAGCATGACCAAGCCAGAAAGGAGCTGCATTTGGGCCTATATGTGGATGTTTCTTACAAGGTTTGTTTTTTTTGTTTGTTTGGTTTTTTTTTTGCATTGACCAGATACAGAAACTAGCACATAAAGTTGGAGGGGTTAGGGAGGGCAATTGAGGGTCTCAAAGGAGAACAGATTGAAAGCTGTTGACTAGATTTCATTTGGGCAGTTTTCCATTTAAAGATTCCTTATATGTGCACTACTATATGCATATTGTCTTGCTCTCTCTGTCCCTCTCTCAGTTTCCGTGTTCCTTGGTTTCTCTATGCCTCTATCTTTGTCTCTTAAATTATTCTAAGTAAAAAAAAAATACACTTTTAAAAGTAGGAGAGAATTTGTATGTTCAGATTATTTCATTCTCTTCAGTTTTCTTGTCTGGTGAACCTGATGTTCTTTCTCATCTTTGCATCTCTATGACACCCTTTCATAATTCATAATAGGTTTGTACTTTAGAAGTTAACTCTTTATCCATCCTGAGTCCTTTGGAGGCAGATTTCCCTTCATATCTATCTACTGAATCTGCACCCAGTACTCTTTTACCAATACTAAATACTTAGTTCTCTTCAAGGGTCTGCTATTGAACTCAAGTGGGTTATGTCATCAGTGAACTCTCATTTTGTAAGTGCTTTCTATGTGCCAGACATTGTGCTAAGCGCTGGGGTTACAAAGAAAAGCACAAGACAGCACCTGCTCTCAAAAAGCCCATAATCTGATGGGGGAGATATCACGCAAATAGCTATGTGCAGACAAGATCTAGACAGGGTAAGGTGCAGATAATCTCAGAGGGAAGATACTAAGATTAAGGAGGCCTGGAAAAGTCTTCTTGTAGAAAGTGCAATTTTAAGGGGCAGCTAGGTGGTACAGTGAATAAGAGCTCTGGCCTTGGAGTCAGGAGGACCTGAGTTCAAATCCAGACTCAGACACTTAACACTTACTAGTTGTGTGACCCTGGGCAAGTCACTTAACCCCGATTGCCTCACCAAAAAACAAACAAACAAAAGAAAGTGAAATTTAGTTGACACTGGAAGAAAGGCAGGAAAGCCAGGAAGCAGAGATGAGGATGGAAAACATTCCAGACATGTGGGCTAGCCAGGGAAAAGGAGAGATGGAGATAGAATGTTATTGGGAATGAACAGGAACAGAGGCCACTGTCACTGAATTGAAGAGTGGCACATTGGGTGGGAATTCTAAGTGTAAGAAGACTGGAAAGGTAGAGGGGGTCAGGTTATGGATGACTTTAAAAGGGGTCAGGTTATGGATGGCTTTAAAAGACAGAGGATTTTATATTGGATGTTGGAGGCAATAGGGAGCCATTGACATTTATTGAATATAAGCTGATGATATGATTAGACCTGTACTTTAGGTGGATCATTCGACAGATTTGTGATTGCCAAGGGAGTTGAGTTGAGTTGAGGATGGACCAGAGTAGGGAGAGAGCTGAGGCAGAGAGTCTAAGGAGCAGGCTATTGGCAATTGTTCAGGCTGAGGTGATGATGCTTGTACCAGGATGGTGGCAGTGTTTTGGACCTCCACACTCAGTAATAATAATATAAGTATATTTAATTATATATAAATAATAAATTAACAGGACTGATTTAGGTTAGATTCGTTGAATCATTGGGGCTTTCTTGAAGAGCTATTAAACTTCTTTTTGTCCTAGATATCAGAAAGATTGACTGTGCTTGGAGGCTTTATCTCTGCATTCATAACTAGATGGGAAATCCCTGCACAATAGGGTGTTAATGGCCTGTTCACCATAATGGTTTATCTGATCAGGCCCCTCCTGCTAGATGTAATTAGTGGAATAGTTTATGCAAAGCAACAGTGATTTTTCTCTGCAACACTTGTTATTAGAAAACATATGTTATGATCCATTTAAAAAGTTAGATATTTCTATGCTCAGGATGCGACCTTCTGCTTGGGAAAGGGTAGACTACTCTTTTTACTTAACCCTGGGAGTACATGCTGTCACTGCTGTTGGGGATGGGGGGAGGGGAGAACTGAAGTTACCCAAGACTTCTTATATTCCTTGACCCTGTTTTTCCCACCATTTCTGGTACTGGATTTAGGTTATTGAAAAGAAGTTTGGACTCCTTTAAAAATTATGTTGAGTATAGTGCTAATGAGAGGCAGCATGGAGTCAGTTCTTTACTGAGCATTTGTTAAGTAGATTGTTCTGGATGGAGAGATAGGAAAACTGAGGCTCCAGTCCTACTGTATCACCCTGGGCAAATCACTTAACCTCTCAGTACCCCAGATGTT